GCCTTGCCCTACGTCTACGACTAAGCCAGTCTTAAGCGTTTACGGATTGTTCTCTGCCATCAGCCTTACGAAAATGATTTGTAAATGTAGGCTGGTGGCAGAGAACGATCCGTAAGCGCTTAAGGCTGTCTTAAGTCGTAGACGTAAGGCAAGGCAGAGAAACACTTAGGTCGTATGCAATAGACTTTCACGACTCAGGTTTTTCTCTCCCTCATCTTACGTCTACGACTCGCAGATAGCACGCATAGTTCTACGATTATTCTTCTGGAGTGCAAATATTCTTACTTTCAGAATATTCCAACCGAATTTTCTATAAATATATATATATAGATTATTACAATTGGAAATCGTATTTGTTAATGAAATCGTGGGACTGTCTCCGAAATCATTATGAAATCCTTACGAAATTCCCGTGTAATCATTTTGTCTTCATTTTCAAGTTTCCTCGCTTGTTAGACAGTAAAATTAAATTTGAACATTTTCTCAGCTTGTTTTTATTTTACATAAAATTACTTTTTTTTAGTGAATATCCAAATATATATCATAGTTCACATCTATAAGCACGTATTCTTTTCGAAACAAGACTGAAGCAGTTGCTATTAGAACAACAGCGAGTTGAAACGTTGATACACCGTTGCGCGTAAATTTGAAACAATAAACGGTAAATACAAATACAAAATTACTTTTTGTTAAAACCACGGTTAGACTATTGGGAAAAGTGGGAAGGAAGGAAACGCGTGACCGAATACTACAATCTTAACTAAACTTATGTCTACAATCAAATACTTTTTAGTAAAATAAGAAAAATATATTTTGAGGAAATCTAACAGCTCTTTGAGGTTTAACAACGTTACATATTTTTAAACGTGCATATAAGAAAATTATTTGCAATTAGATGAGATTATTTGTAATCAAATGAAATCGTATGAAATCGAATAAAATCGTGTAATCGGTGGGACAATATTTTAGCTAGTGGTTACCCCCTTAATTCGTAACGAAGAAGAACGTTTTTAGAATATTCGTCGCGAATGTCTTTGGAATATTAGTTCAGAATAATTTTTTCATATTCATCGAGTTTATGTATTGCACATTGTTTATTGTGTAATACACCTATATTATGCAAAAGGCAGCGAAACCAGTGACCACACCATGTATAACCGACACGCTATATTCGATAGATTATTTTACTCACATTCGAAAAAGATTTATAATAGTGCCAGTCGAATGTTCCATGAATATAAGATAAATATATAAGAATGACCTATGGAATATTTCAAATATTCTTAAAATGTTCATAGGAGTGTCTCGTGCTAAGACGGTCTTAACCCAGTCAGAAATGACACGTCGATCGACGTCGAAACGATGTCGTATCGACATCGAAACCGCTATATTGACGTCGTTTCGACAAGTTATTTCTCGCCGAGAAGCGTTTACGGATTGTTCTCTGCCATCATTCTTAAGCGTAGCGCCACATTATATGCGCGATTCGTGATTCGTATATTCGTGAATGGTATGGAGGAAAAATTCGTTGATTCGCAGTTCATGCGCAGTGATTCGCTAACCGAGCGGTTTTTGATGAAAATAGTTTTTTCGCGGTCTCTTCCCGTACTTTTGCGAGCGCGTGTCAAGAATGAATAATACGATATACGGAACGGCGCGAGCATAATTGACTCGTTCAATTATGTCACCGCGTGAATGATCCTGCGTACGGCGTGACCTTGTTTCGCCGAGCACCGTAAACAACTCGGTCGAAAGCCGAGCGCCCGGTTCCACGAAATGACGTAGCGCCCCGTGAACCCTCGGTCGAAAACAGTCTATCATTCGCCGCGGTTCAGTCGAGCGAGGCGGATGTTTCGCGTGTCTCCGCGTCGCTTGTCGTAACGCGGTCATTTCCAACGAGAATCTCGATCGTCTCGTACGAGAGATATTAACAATTATATCAATCGCGCTTAAGGGGATGCTGGAGTGATTCTGCACTTTCGCACCTTTTGCACTTAAAACTGTCTGTTTCGTGGAAAGATTTGTGTAATACACAAATTAAATGGCACGTGTACAGATGATCGAAAGCAGCTTGCTATTCCGG